TGATGCTCTCATTGCTCTCAATTTTTTGGGAAAATGAACACATTTACTGCCTCTGCTCAGTATTTCTTGCCTAGTCCTGCATCTTACACCACACTCTGAGCAGTCTCAGCAACAGTCCTCTGGACGCATTAAGCAGCCCCATTTTCTTTTGTAGTGCAGGACAATGTCATCTGTTGTCTGATGCCTTTCACTTTCAGGTTATCTTGAAATCTCTTTTTCACATATTCCTTGCCATTGTCAGTTCTCAGGATCTTTGTCTTTTTACCCATTTGGTTCTTGAGAAACAATCAGAATTTTCTGAAACTTTACTTTATTTTGATAAGTCCATTATGATGCAATTTTATAAATTAAAAAATAAATACTTTATTGAAATCCCAAACATATGGGTGTACAAGTACAATGTAACTGAAGATGGCGGTCTTCTGGGTTGTTGCGCCATATAGTCTGGTATAAATTTACTGACGTTTCAGAGGTCCTTGCTGCCTCCATCATCAGGGCGATGAGTAAACTTCTACCAGACTACCCAGTGCAACAACCCAGAAGACAGCCATCTTCAGACTCACCGCCGTGAAAACCTCAAATCCTACAATGTAACACTTTCATGCAAATGCATCTCAATATTTTTTTGTCACTTAGATATTTGTGGCATAAAGACAATGTTAAAATCAAAATATGTTGCCACTTATTAATAACATGAAATGTGTTGTCAGCTGCTATGGAATATTGTATTTCAGTGCTTATTGTTGATGCTGCCACTATACAGAATTGCTATTTTAATTTAATAGTCCACTGAAAATATACTGGTTTTGCAAAGCACTGACAAAAGGGTTACATATTCATTTTCAGGCCCGTCTATGTATGTTTCCTGAGGGAACTCGTAATGGCAGTGCAACACTCTTGCCCTTCAAGAAGGGAGCTTTCCATGTTGCTATTGCATCACAGACCCCAATCCAGCCAATTATAGTGTCAAGGTACAATTTCCTTGATGACCGTAAAAAGTTGTTTAACTCAGGTATGTATATAAATAAACTTGTTAAGTATTAGAATTGACATAAACTGACCAGCCAGGAAGAGTATACATATGCTTGGATCCGTCAAGGACAAATTGGGTCTGAGAATCCCGGTATATACTGCATTCCCTGCAAAGTATATGTTGGGTAGACTGACAGAACCATTGACACGAGATGCAAAGAGCATATGAGACACATACGTCTTGGCCAACGAGACAAGTCTGCGGTGGCGGAACACAGCATCGAAACAGGTCATAACATCAACTTCAACAACACCACGATGCTAGAAAAAGCAACTGGATACATGGACCGACTTGCAAAGGAAGCCATAGAGATCCGGCTGCATCCTGACAACTTTAATAGAGACGGAGGTTTAGTCTTGAACCGAGCATGGTATCCGGTGACGAACATGCTCAGGAATGTTGGGGGAACGTCAGGAAATAAGCAGAGCCAAACAAACTGAGCGCTTGACTCCGCCCCCTAGCTCCTTGGGCCTGGTCCCGAGCAGGCAGTTACACAGGCACCCTCCAAGGATCTAGTCACATCAGAACCCTGAAGATGGGGACAGAGTTTGTTCCCGAAACGTCGGCTTACTCCGGTAACCAGCTAACGCAGCTGATTGCCCGAGAATATTTTATTAACCATTGAGAAGTCAGTGCACCAGACCCTTGTTGCACTGACTATGTATTCATTGACAGAGTGAGAGACCCAGAAGTGAAGGAACATCTTCAATCTTTTACCTGCAGATCATGTGTATCCTATTTCCATTATGGCCTTTATTCTTAGCATTCCAGTCTTCTGTATGTGATTGGGAACCTTAAACTTTAGTGAAAAGTAGCATTTGGTAATTCTCGAGAAAAATTAGATGTGAGTCTGTTTTAAAAGTGAAAATTTGAGAATGTTAATTTGATGTAACAGCATATGTAATTATAACTTGTGTTTGAGTAGTTTACTTATTTTGCAGGTGATGATAATGATTATTTAAAATAAGTACAAATTATTTTCTGTTTATTAACAGGTTATAGTATTATCAACATTCTACCACCAATACCAACAGCTGGAATGACAAAAAATGATCTTGAAATGCTGATGGAAAAAACATGGAATGTCATGTCAGAAGCTTATGTGAAGACAACAGATCAAGCACTGGCACATTCACCAACACCAGTAATTAATGGCAAAAAGTGCAACTGATGGCAACACTTAGCATTGTGTTTTAGTGTTGTTTCCAACAGACTTCTCCACTAAGATATTAACACAAACTGCAGTGCAGTGAAACTAGCACCATCAAATGGCAGACAGAAATATTATTTCTGTAGTTCCACTGCTGAATGACAGATAAATGACAAATTCTTGACTGAAAGCGAGACTTGGCTCATTCTCTGGGGGAAGTATTCTGAAAGTGGCATTTATAAAAAATGTGACTTGGAAATGTTGTTCCCAAGAATTGTATAACAGTGTCTGTAAGAAATGTTAACTGTTATCTAAATAAGATGGTTCTGGGAACCTTTCTGTATAAAAGTTATGAAATTCCATTCCATTTTAATATCCCTTGATATCTTTAGTTATGAATTTAGTGTGTAAAGTCTTACTTTTAGTTGCAAATGTCTGAAGATTTTTAGGAGACTAGCTTTGTAATTGCATACTATATTTAGGTAGAAATATGACCAACTTAGGCCCTAAAGATACCAATTCCCTGTTAGCTAATTTTCACATAGTACGCTACAATCATGAGCTATATAGACTATATAAAAGTGATGATATAGTAACTCACATTAAACTGAGAAGGTTGGAATGGGCTGGACATGTCTACAGGATGGAAGAGTATAGGATACCCAAAAAAATATTGGAAGGAACAATATATGGGAGAAGGCCAGTGGGAAGACCTAAAGGTAGATGGCTGGATGCAGTGACGACTGACTCCAGAAATCTCCTTGGAACAGCAGCTTGGAGAAGGATAGCGTTGGATAGAGAGGATTGGAGGAAGAAGATAGAGGAGGCTAGGGCTCGATTTTGGGCTGTTACGCCATAGTAGTAGTAGTAGTAGTATCTGAAGCACTGAGGAAGATTCTTTGAAACTGAACATCCATATTCTAAACATTTCTCATTGCTCTGATTTTATCTGATAATGGACTTGATAACTGCTCCCATTCCAGAAGCCCGTAAATAAATGTTGCCGGTTGCATTATACGACTGAAGGTGGTTATACAGAAGTGATAAACTTCTTATCAAGTTACTTGTTATTTATACAGTTATTCATATATTTAGAAGAAATTTGGTAAACTAGTTGTTGATGTTACAAGATTTCCTTGTTTCATAATTGTTATTCTGAGCCAAAAAAGTAAAAAATAAATAAACAAATAAAACAAAGAAGAACCTTGTTGTTTGAAAGTCAGTGATAAAGCACACAGGGGTAAATAGTGTCTATTTAAATTCTGCCTACAGTTTTCACAGAAAATGGTCTGATCTTTATTCTCCACAATATAGACCATACTCCAGAGCAGTGGTATCAACCTGGGGTAAGCGAAGACATCTTATGTGGTATGTGAAATTTAAAAAAATATATATATTATTTTATGATAAACACTGAATAATCAGTAATGTAATTTGTTTAATTTATTTTAGATGTAGATTATGTACTATGTATAACTTGAATTATACACCAACAACTTTGGGGGTACAAAGTTGAAGAGAAATTATATCTGGGGGTATGCGACCAAAAAATGTTGAATACCACTGCTCTAGAGTATATGTTTTATGTATTCACCATCTGTTGTAATTGATGGTTTGAAAATATCAAAAGAACCAGAAAGTTTTGTTTCAATCTTGAACAAAATGTTTTTCACTTGTGACTGTCTTCCACTACTTTGTACCATTCAACACCAAGGAGATTTATGTCTTCTGGGTTGTTACACTGTGTAGTCTGGTCGATGTTTACCAACATTTCAGAGGTCATACTGCCTCCATCATCAGGGCAATGAATGTGCCCTGATGACAGAGGCAGTATGACCTCTGAAATGTTGGTAAACATCGACCAGACTACACAGTGTAACAACCCAGAAGACATAAATCTCCTTGGTGTTGAATGGTACAAAGTAGTGGAAGACAGTCACAAGTGAAAAAACACCAAATGTAACCATGGCAGTTGTTTATGAATATGGCCACTTCTGCTTGCAAACTGCTCCTGCAGGCTCATGTTATAGCATACGTCTAACATTTACAATGAACCTGAGCAAATTGTTAAAATTCCAGAAGTGACAGAAAAACATAATACATGGGTGCCACTCAAATAAGTGTTGTGAACAGAGCTTCAAATATTTATGTATCCTTAGAATGTTTAATACTAGAAAGAGGAAGTATCTGTTATATTTAACGATTAATATACCTGAATACTGAATAACCAAGCTTCTAGAGTTCTCAAAGTTTTGTGGACTTTATTACTGAAACTTAAATGTCTTATCTGCCCTTCTGTCCATATTCGCTTCACACTGCTTTCACTGCCTGATGTAATGTGAGGTTAAATTACTCCATATGTTCATATTAATATTTGTTATTGTTTAATGTGCAGAATAGGGGTTCTTAACCTGTTTTGACCTTTAACACACATTTTGGTCAACAACAACTGTTACCAAACGTGACAGATATCAACATTCCACTGATATGCTGAGGACGATATTGCTAATGATCGCCTGCTAATGCGCGATGAAGTTGGCATCAATGATGGCTATTTCCGGTGATCTTCGATTGTGTGCTAAACTGATTTTTGTGGATTTTTTGGGGGAGGGGGGAAATTATGTCGTATGTGTCTAATTAAAACACCGCTCCTGAGTTTCTGAATCATGGAACAGCTACAAACTGTGTTACACTTCTGCGATATAATATAATAAGATATGTGTTTGTTCGGATTCTCATAGAATCTGTCGAGGACGTTACAACATATGTGATTTCTGAAAAGTAGTTCGTTTTAAAATCCTACACTCAGTAATGAAAACTTGACGGATGGTCAAGTCGTGACGTGAATGCTGGTGACAGCATAAACCATAGTCTTCTGCGTGTCTCTAAAGTAACTTAACCCACCTCTCACGCAAGTGATGTCCGTCGGATGAAAATTAATTAAATATTGCATGAGTGTTATGACACAGATCGATTCTGCAGACTATTTGTGTATTTCTATGTACCAACCTCACGGCCGCTTAAAGTCATGAGGTGGAATGATGACACTGCGCATGGTCCTCGGAATCTGTAACCTGACCCAGCTTGTCGAAGTATGTTGAAAGTTGTATAGTCCTGCCGGTAGATGCCCTAATCTGTTAAGACGTGCCCAAACTCTGCAAATTTATCAAAACTTATCGAAATAAATCAAAACTTGTCGAAATTATATAATTCTGTCCGTATTGCGCCGTGGTGTGCAATAGTAATCTATGGTAGCCTATTCTAACCTTACTGATCGGATGAGAGCAATTTTCTGAGCTAAGATGATATGGAACTGAAAATATATGTTTCATGCAGTGGCGCAAGCAGGAGAAGTATCATGGGCTAGTATAGGTCTATGTGTGAGAATAAGAAAGTGTGAATCAAGGTATATTGAATTATGGCAGTACAAATCAAATGATTCTTTTAAAAAATGGCAATGGAAACTAAGAGTACAGAAAATGATGGACAAATCACCAATGCTAAAAAAGAGCTATATGGCAAGTTAAAACTAGAGCTGGGAAATCATCTCTTCCTCTCCCACCCCATGAGTTAATAATATAAAATAAATGCGAGAAATAAAAGTAAATGTAACAGATACAGTTGATAATCAATTTGTAGGAATACCCAGAGTGATTTGTACTTTCGAATATTTGTTCGATGTAGACAGTAACAACCGAAATAATCATCCCATAGAGTTCATCGGAACGGCGAGAATCAAATAAAATCACTCAAATGACACCAATCGAATGGAAATAATCGACATCTATATTGTTAGGCATCTGTGGTGCAAGAGGTATTTCTGTTTATTACCTGTGGTGCATGGGAAATTTGGTTCTCATCAGTGATAGGTTGCAATCGTAATTATCAAATATGGCTTCACTGTCAGCGGTATCGGTATTATTTTTTTGTGTTGTGTTTTCTATATCATTTAAAGGTAACTGTATATATTAGAAATTAATTAATACTGACATTATAACCTAACCGTGGACTATTATAAATAGTTTAGCAGTTGTCCCAACTGTTGATGGTTCCATGATACGATTACCATAAAAAGAAAAGAATGTCATTCAGCCCTGAGAGCATGTGACGTTTAACATAGGTGTGTCAACAAATAAATATATCTTATTTAAAAGGTTCTTTTCGTTGTAATTTTAGCATCTGCAGAAAGGATTAAAGACAAAATGTATGAACCCATAAAAGGTGCTGCTGCATGCTTCAGAAGGTTAAATGGAACGCATCAGTTTGGTTGTACATGTGAGTAATGAAAATTAAGGCAGTTCATTAAGTATTAAGTGTTACTTAGAATTAAGGATCGGTGTAGTTTTTTATATTTGTGTGTAATAAGGCATTTAAGAGTGTTTGTCATGGAGTTTGGTGTTGCTATTCAAGCAGTCATTGTTCACATGGTTCCTTTCATGTATAGATAGTTAAACCATGGCCAGATTTCCGGATCGTATTCTGCTGATTATTTGAAGCAAAAATGTTCTGTTAATAATAGTGTGACTCTACCATTATTGAGTTAAGTGGTAGTGTAGCATAGGATGATAGTACCCCTTACCATGTTTATTGTTATGCAAGTGATGTGGTTGTTTCCCTTGTGAGAAAGTGTTAGTCAGATACCTTTAACATTTAAAAGTGATTAATATACCAGTATGCATGTCATATATGTATTTCTAATGGAAATGGTATGGCTGCTGTAGCAGAATAATGGCTGTGCTTTCCATATTATACCATCGACATTATTATGAGGTTGTATGAAGTATAAGGTGTACCATACTTGCAATCCGGATACAAGGCAATAGTTGTATAAACAAAGCTGTTGCTGCTTAGAAGAATGTCATATTGATAAGATTCATATGGTGAGAATTCGGGTTCTCATGGTGATGTATGTGAAGATGGGTATTGTCTGAGATGTACTGTTTAATCTGATAGAAATTGGCTGTCATTTCAGAGGTGCTTACTGTCTCCATCTTAACCCTAATGATCGATGACAATTTGCTTTTGCACATGATTGATTGCTTGTTTTTGTTTTTAAGCACATCGGTCCGGAAATGTTGGAGTCATTCACTTTATTGAAAATCAGACAGATTTGGATTGGTTGCTGCATAGTGCCACAGCTGAGCCATATATGGCTATAATTCAACCAAAGATGTTCACAAGGTATTTGTCATAATCTGATGCAGTGATACCACTTTTTCTTTTTACTTTATTTCATAACAAAATAACTAACATGGATTATCTTCCTCATTTGATTCCTAACCTCTAGCATGTTAAGACACATTAGTGTTTCCAGTACTTAGCAAATCTTACTGCACTAAGGTGAAAACATTGACATAAGCTTAACCGATGGCTCGTTTCACACAGTATGTTTCCCTGATGGACATCAAAATCAACAATTTATTGAAACAAATGCATGAAGCAAAAATACATTAGGTCAAATAACTGTCTTCATGGGCATTCCCTAATTCTGGGAACTCATAAAAATGAAACAAAATTCCTGTACAGCCACATTTTCCATTTGAGTTGTAAGCATATCATAGAGATACTTGCAGAAGTGAAGGTAGGTGAAGGGTGAAGTGAAGTGAAGTCTGTGTTGAACATCTGATAAAAGTGCTGGAGAATATTTTTTCCACTGATGAATTATGTTCAGAATTGTCAAATGCATTGTTTTCATGGCACAGAGAAGCAAACCTAATCTTCATGTACTCAGAACACTTTACTTGTCAAAAACATACAACCCAGTTCCATCAGTGTTAGTGAACTATAAATTTTGACATTAGTCAGAAAAACTTAGAGTGTGAAAACATACCACCATAGTGTGTGAAAGAACACACCCTCATTCTAACAGAACACTAATTTTGACATATATGAGAAAAACACATAATGTGGAATGGGTATGATGAGTGTTGTTGTTGCAGAGAAGTGATGCTAACACTGAAAGCATCAGAGAAGGTGAATGGTATAGTGCTGATTAACAATCATTCAGCAGAACGTCCAGGGAACTTCTCCCATGATGATACATGTCCAAATCGCTACTCAGGTCTTTCACTTGTTGAAGAGACCTGCAATGATACGAAACCCTGGAATCCAGCTGGTACTGGTCTCATGTTGATTGATTGGGGTTTTCCAATATTCCATATTGAAGATGAAGATAATATTTCAAAGTTGTATGAGGTATGCTGAATGTAATTTCGTGTTGATGTCAAATGTACTAGTAAATCAAGGGTTTTTAATATTAAAGAAATTTCTTATAGGTTTATGCAGCCAGAGCTTAGGTATTTTTAATTTGAAGATGGCCGTCTTCTGGATTGTTGCACCATGTAGTCTGGTAGAAGTTTACCGATGTTTCATAGGTCCTTGCTGCCTCCATCATCAGGGCGGCCTGATGATGGAGGCAGCGAGAACCTCTGAAATGTTGGTAAATTTCTACCAGACTACATGGCGCAACAACCGAGAAGACAGCCATCTTCAGACTCGCCACTGTGAAAACTTCAAATCTTACGTATTTTTAATTTATTTATGGAAATATTAGTGGGGAGTAATGTAAATTATTTCCAACATTTGTATTCTTACTATTCATGGAAAATGTTCTCATTGTGTCCGAGGTTCTCATCTTAGGCCATTGCCATGATAAATATTGTCTTCTTACTTCTCAGTAGTGAAGTTTCCTGTGGTTAATACAGTACCTGAGTTCCGTTCCTCTCAAAAATAAAAATGTTCACTCATACCAAGGAATATGGTGTTATTGATAGTTTCATAATAACTTAACATCCACTTATAGTGGAAAAATCTTTCATAGTGTGTCATAACTTTCAGTAATTGTGTTAATCTTTCATGGAACAGTGCTATCAGAAACACAATGCACACGACAAGGATGAACAAATGAGCCGATCACTTTGTGCTTTAGAGATGAATTCATTCATGATTGCTGCTGTCGATTCAGAAACTTGCATCCGGCGTAGCTCAACGACAACAATACTCAACCACAGTGAGTCAGTATTGTCACTTTGCTACATCACTTGTTTTCATTTTATATTATTTCTGCACTTAACAGGCAAATTATTCATACTTCGGAAATAGAAAAGACTTACAGGGCAGTTTATGGTACAAATAGCATGCTGTAGATGTCATTAATAGCCACGGTGGTCTAGCGGTTAGATCGCTGGCCTTGTAATTCTGGGGTTCTATTCCCAGCGGTGCCCGAATTTGTAACTTGTGTTGGGCAAGGCCGTGGTCCAGGCAACACGGAATTTACCTCCGGGGCTTCCCCGGTTTCTCCGTGGCATCCCAACAATTACTCCATACACACAGAAGAAGGCAATGGCAAACCACTTCTGTATCACCTGCCTAAAAAACATATAAAGGAGACGGCGTAATAAAGAAGAAGATGTCATTACGTTTTGAGAGCTGAAGTAAACTGTCATCCGTTACTTTCCTTCACTAAGAGATGTGAGCGCATACACATGATAGTAATGATACTAATATCTGTGAACACATGAGTTTCCTTATCAAATATTGGTTTTCTGTATGAATATAATTCAGGAATAATAAACAAAAGAAAATAGGAAGAGCCGAGTGGAACTATTTAATGTGTATCAATTAATTCACTGTTCGTCATTGTCTTGAACATATTCTGTTTGACATGCACTGTCATCTGGAATCAGTGCTGGTGAAAATGATAGTAGTAGCAGCAGTGGTTAGTGAAAAGAGTGCAAGTCATTACAACAAAAGACATTGAAACCATTGGTGTGCACTTTGCCTTATGTGATGATTATTTTTTGTGTTCTTTTTCCAGTTCGTTACTGTGATCCACTAGGCGGCAATAATATCTGGTCCACGTTATATCCACGGCTTAAAGCAGAGGAGACAAATAAAACAGTGATAGTGGTTGCAGCACGTTTGGATGGAACATCTATGTTTGATGGCTTGGTTCCTGGAGCCATGAGTCCTGTTTCAGGAATTGTAACTCTTCTTATGACAGCAAAAATCTTGGCTTCTATTGCACAGAATTCATCAGATATACAGAGTCAGCAAGGTGAGTAACAAGATTTTACAGGTTTTATGGTTATTTATATTATGTTTGTTATGGATGGGATTGTGCCAGTTGAGCAGAATTATTTAATTGTGTTTGCTTTTATTTTTTAGAGTCCAGTCTACTGACTTAAGTACACATTTTAGCAACGTAACTTGGACTCACTCACTCTACCTCCCTCCCTCCCTCCCTCCCATGCAATGCTACAGTAATGTGTAATGTTTTGCAGACAATAATGTACTCTTCTTGCTGTTAAATGGAGAATCATACGATTACATTGGTTCAAGTCGGGTTGTGTGGGACATGCAAAATAGAATGTTCCCCATGAAGCCAAGCTCTTCAGCAACAGAGCAGCCTCCACCATTGTCTCTTTATAACATTGGCTTATTTATTGAAATTGGACAAATTTCCACTCTTGGGAGAGTCCCAGGCAATGATACGACCATTTTGAATTTTCACCAACATCAACCCGTGTCAAACAGTGTCCTTAATCGGAATCAGGTGAGTTGACATGTTTACTTGATCTTTTAAGGTCCTTTTTTGTATGCTATCTTTGCATGTAGTGCATATAATATGAATATTATTTGCATGTTTTAAATCTTAGAAAAATGAAATACACAGAATAATATTATTTGCATGTTTTGAATCTTAGAAAAATGAAATACACAGAATTTTGATTGGAAAATTTTACAGAAAGAAACCACTTGTAAGAGAAGCACATTGCTGGAGCTTACTACTCAAATGCGTTTAGAAGATATGAAGTAGGCCTATATTAAACTTGCCCGGGATAATGTTTGCAGCAGGTTTTTATAATTATGGTGATGAACCTTTGGGTTTCAGGGAATTTCTTGATCAGCTGAATAACTATGAACTGCTGAACAAAGAGCCTGTGACTGGAAATGTATTTGTGTTCTTCATTTCAGATGGACAGTTTTATATTATATATGAACCAATATGGTCCTGAAGTAGGGCTTGGGTTTAAGCTAATGAAGGAGAACCTTCCACCAGCATCGCTGCAGACTTTCTTGGCTGCCAACAGTGATATACCTGGTGTCGTACTGACTGACCATGGATCTCAGTACTTAAACAAGTGAGTTTATCATGGTTAAGACTCTTCTCAATTTGAGGAATGAACAAATTGCTAAGGATGATATTTAGACATAACATAATAAATAATATTAAATTTAAAATTTGTACTTTTCACACAATATTAGATTAGCCTTTATTATACAGTAACATGAGATTTAAATCCCTGAACCATAGGGCTGCAAGCTGAAGTATGTAATTGTTAGTTAACTGATTTTATTGATTAATATTTGTGGAACATTTACTATTAATTTTTAGTCATTCAGTCCAGAATTTTACTTAAGGTATGTATTCCTGACTTTATGCATGTTTATTATTTTAGTTTATTAATATTCTATGTTTACAATCCCAAAACTTGACTATGAATTGGCAACTGTTCATTGGTGTTTGAAGTTCTGAGCTCTCTAAACTAACTTAATTCTAGGTTTTGATTTCAAATGACAGGTTTCTTTTTTATTTAATGATGAATGTATCTGATGTAGTGTCAGTTGAAATGCAAGAATTGTTATATACAGTGAGTGACTTAACCCATTGCTGGACATAGGGCTCTGGAACGCGTAGCCATTTAAATTACCGTGCTGGCCTGAACGCTGTCCATGACAAAATATATTTTAATGCTATTTAGTCACAGAAGATTTGTGTTCACTTTTATGAGACAATAATTATTTAATAATCAATAACACTGACATCATTGTAAACACATGGTGTATTTGTTCTCATCTCAGCTGTTATTTCAGTGTTGAAATCAAGGCCATGACTTCAAGATCTAAATCCCTATATGGCATTTCTCCTATTGTGTCTGATAGTGCAGTTGGGTGTATGTTGGAAGATGGTTTAGAAAGTATTAGTCGTAGCAGTTAAAACTATAGATATTTATGTTTGCTTTATTATTAACTGCACACCAAGATGTGTAAAACAATATAAGTATGTTTCAGGTATTATCACAGCATAATGGATGATGGCCAAGAGCTGAATTACATATACCAGAATGTCACCAGAGATTCTGTTCAAAAACTGGTAGCCAATTTGGCCCACACCTTAGCCCATACACTTTATTGCCTCATCAACAGTACTGGGCCATGTGATGAACCAAAAGTGCCAGAAACAGATACAGATTCACAATTGGTAAGTCTTTGTGGTTCAAAAATTCAGTATTGGGTTGGTTTCATTATAGTTTTTCTTGCCTCGTGTTCACTTGTGGAGGTCAGATGTTTGGTAATAGATTCTTTTCTTGTCTGTTCTCACATGTCTTAGCTCTTCTTTCCTTGTCTATCTGCACTGACCACCAACTTTGCTTTTGTGCTTTTGGCCTTCCCAGAGTTCTCTGTTGTTTAAATTATATTTATATTGTTTCAATGAAACTATCATTTGATGTATCTTCATATGCTTTATATGGCTGAAGCATATAAGTCTATTTCTTTCTAAACATTCTTTGTAATTATCAGTTTTTACTCTTTTTGTATCTTCTTCATGCCTAAGTGTCTCTTCTGGTTTTCCCTTGCTTGGATTATAATTACATATTTTTGAGAGTCCATATTTGAGTTGCATGTATCAGCATTGGTTTAAATTGGATGTTGTGTATTACATGCTTACATTTTTTGGTACTTGTTCTAGATGAACGATAAAATGGTATCTTGGTTCAGACTGAAGAAAGGATATGAAGGTGCATATCATGTCACAAATGGATCCTTTTGCAACAACATAACATTCATATTCCTGTTCTAACAACTCTTTTTTATGTACGTTAACTGTGATAAATGTGGGCAGTATATTGTCTTGAAAGAGTCAAAACTGTTGGATCCAGACATTCATTTATCCAGAGTATACATTGGCCTGTTGGCCGCCATCTTGCAAATCATTCAGGAATGATTGAATATGCCTGTTGAATGATCTCAATGTAAAATTTATTCAATTTTTTTTCTTAAGGTTGGCAGAGTTGGATGAATGGTGTCATAGCCAAGTTCCTCCAGGAATGTAAAATCACTGGTTCTTTATATTCTGCTGTAAAACCAGCTGATAATGGAATCCCATGGGGCCTGAATATGTTCTACATTTTAAAAAAATTCTGTTTCATTTCTCAATATATATTTTGTGGACAGAAGACAATATTTTCCATAAAATGTATTTTTTCTGCTCTTTTTTCATATTAAACAGTTTCATTTATTAAAGGGAATTTTTGCATCATTTCCCACTCTCTTCTTAGCGCCAGAAATGTTCAGATAGAGACAGAATTCCATTTAACCCAGGGCTCATTTCAGACAGGTTTTATTGCATGTACTACAGGAAAATAGAACAGTTGACATGGTAATAGTGCCAACTTGCTAATCCATGGTATATTTCCTGAAGGTGGACGAGCTGTTTCATTGCTATCTGGATACCATGGACTGCCCTGTCTTTCGTGCTGCTGCAAACAAAGCAAACCTGAACAGCAAGCCTGCATCTTTCTATGTGGGAGTGAATGGATATAACAGCCCAATTGCCAAACTGACTGGACTGACTCTGGCTCTTCTGGTCAATCAAACTGTTAATCGTACTGAGGAAGAATGCCACAGTGATGACTCACATAGGGTAAAGTTCTAATGGGCACATAAAGAACCATATATATGAAACTCAACATTTAGTTTTCTTCTTCTATGGCTCTCCGGTCTGTATTTGGTCCATGGCCTCCTCAATTCTCCTCTTCCATTTGGTCCTATCCTCTGCTGCCTGGTCCATCTGTCCGAGGCTTTGATTGAGGTTTTGAAACAGCATTTAGTTTTAACCAAAGAAAACATGGAGAGTGATAAGTTAGCAGTTCTTTATATTTAAAATCCCTGACAGATCATATCTAAAGACAAATTTTAATAGTGTTGTTTGTTTCTTTAATGACACTTTGTGAATTTCATAGGTTATATAACATTATATGAAAAAGGACTTGATGATTGTAAATGATAAATAGGGAAATATATTGGATAAAATGGTTGTAACCTTCTTCAAGATAGTTGACCATTTTCTTACAGAGACTGAGGAAAGCCACCGAAATCCTTTAAGTATTTGTGCTCTGTGTTGACATTTGAGCCCAGGACATCCCAGTTATTAAGCAAAAATTCTAATCACAACATCACAATAGGTAATACCATTGGGGGCTGTCTAATTGACATTTTCACATTTTATTTCTTTAAGATGTATTTCAACTGAACATTGTAGTCAAGTGGTTAGCACTCTGCTTCATATTTTGGAGGTCCCTGGACCAAATCTAATCTGACAGGCTGGTTACCCTTATTTAGGTTTCCTGGTTTTCCAAAGTCTGTCCAGGTAAATGCCAGGATAGTACCTTGAAACAGGCCATAACCATTTTGTTTGACATCCTTCCTGATCTATCATTTATTAATCATCCTATAATTTGATGCTACACAATCTGAGATACTGACAGCATCATTAAGTAATAAGCATATAAATAAAAAAGGTATATTCATTACTGTCCTTCCATCTATGTCTAGATTTTCCAAATTGTTTTCTAACTATGCTGATTCTATAAAACTGTAGGAAAATCCTTACTTTCTGAAAGTCCTGGCATGAGCATAATCCATATCTGCAAAGCATTTTCATTTATCAGTCTGTGAGAGGGAAAACCTAACTATTACATTTTACGCCTAGTTCACTGGGAGAAGGATGGTTGTAGTGCAGTGGTCCCCAACCTTTTTGTGCCTACGGGCACATTTGAGAGTTATGAGATCGTGGCGGGAACCAACCAATTAACAAAGCCAAATTTTCTTTTCTCTGGACAAATAAGATATGGACACCAAATAATACACAAAACAACACGACGTTTAATAATAAAAGAAACCATGTAATCAAAAATACGTACTTTTATGAGTACAGTTATTATTTCTCAAGTGGGAAGTTAGTGTGATGTTTGGCACTGCATTTCATCGGCCAGTTTTTCAAATTTGGGAGTGCAGGATGTTGCTGCTCGCAAACTATCGTCAAGATGGGCGTCAGTAAGTCGAGATTTGTGCTTTGATTTTATAATGTTCATGGTTGAACGGCCTTCATTATTCAGTATAACATCTTTCCATAACAACGCAGGCACTCAAAAAAACCTTGGCGGGGACCACTGTTGTAGTGAAATGATGGTTTTATGCAGAGCTTAATTTATATAAAATAGATCCTTGTGTATTGTCATGTTGTGGTTACTGGAATGCACTGACTGACTGTCATGATTTTACTTTGAATACTTTGTGGTTTATGTCATAGGTCTTTAAGTATATTTGGATGAGCAGCAATTTGGATGGTACAAACTCCAGTGGTGTCTGTATAAAAACTACAATGAACTTCTCTACAGCCGTCAGTCCAGCTTTCTATGATATACCAGGTAAATTAGTTTAGCTTGTGCTGAAACACTCCAAAATGCATTTAGATGTCAGTGCATCAAAAAATGAAATTAACTTCTGTATTTTGTGAGATCACTTGGATTTGTGGCAGAAAAACCTGCATATAATGTTATCATTATCTTATTTCTCTGGATTTTGAACACCAATTGACCAATTTTAATGAAATATTGTATGAATGTTATGTCATTGGAGGCCACTGTAATCTTAAGCTTTGTAAGTACTTGCAGTAAATAATAACAGCATATCAAGTGCAGAAACGTTTGAGGTGTAAGCTAAACTAGCGTCAGTTGGTATTTCTACCACTGCCATAGCAGAAGTAGTGGTAGTAAGTCTTAGTTTACAGTTGCAAACTGTAAATAAGTTCTGGACTTTTATAACCATATATGCATGAGTAGGAACTAAATTGTGTGTCATTATTTTATTATAAAGTTTAGTTACCTAAATACAGTATAACATTCACAGTACAAGATTTGTGTGGTTTTAAGTCTGCTCAGAACTCCTTGTTTGTACTTTGATCGATAACTATCATAATTTTATACTAAATCTAAAATGGCTTGTGGTGTTCAAGAAAAGTGGCACGGTGCTGTTGTAAAAATTATAACATGGAATTTTTTGTTGCAAATTCAGCAGTAATTACATTACACCTTTTGCATGTAAGTAGGGTCTTTGGATACTGTTATTAGAATGGTTAATTAAATCTTCTACCATCATCTTTTGATAATTGCACATGAAACTAAATATGGTAACAGTGTACAGGTAGCCCTCAATGTACGCTGGGGATGCGTTCCTGGATGAACTGGCGTAAACGGAATCGGCGTAAATTGAAACTCTTTTGTAATGTAAATAAATGGGTAGTCAATGACATGCGTTCCCAGCACCAAAACATTGACAAGTAATATTACATTTAAAGCTCTGAAATAACGTAAATAAAATAAAGGGTATTTAAAAAATATATTTTATACACTTACAATCAGCAATGCGTTGGTCCCCGCATTTGACTGCGATTCTTTCGTGTGACTGATGTGTACAGTCATCTCTGCTGTTATGCAATAGTTGCATTCATATAAGACACCGACCTATAGAGAATCGCGTAGTCCTTTGAAAGTTTAAAGCACCAGGAATGAAACTGCATAAGAGCAAACTCGCATATGCAAAAGTTTGCATTTCACAAACAGCTTTTACTGATTCATCGATCTCATTGTAGCAAATTCGCGTTAACGAAACATGTAATTGCAGAGGTGACTGTATTTATAATTTTTATTCAAAATCAGCTATGTAAGAATTATGATTTAGTATAAGAATCAGTACGATATACATTGTAAAACGTTATAAGTAATAGTAATTCCCCCCCTCCCCCACTTTTTGACTTGCTTGTTTCAAAATCGGCGCAAATCGAGGCTACCTGTATTAGAATTTTGTATTAAGGGTGCAGGCCTGGTTCAGCCTGAAGTGTTTTATGCCTGTATGTACTGAGATGTTTTCCTGCACATTATTGCACTAGGCTATGATTGGACATCTGGAAAGTATTCGACTTGGACCGAGTCTATATGGCGGGAGTTCACCATCAGGATGTTCCTTAAACCATCAAGGAGTCATGAGAATCTGACTTTCTCATTGGGAGTAGTTGTACTGTCATTGTCATTCTTGATTGTTTACTTCGCAAATTCACGGTCACACATCCTGTTTGGAAACACGTAAGTTATGTAATGGTGAATTAAAAGTATATATATGTATTGTCAAAAGAATTTTACAGTCAGGTCAGAAGAATCCACAGCTGGAATATAGCCTGTGACCTCACCGGAGGCTTTGAAATGTGTTGCAGGATTGAAATATATTTTATTTGAAAATGTAATTCTATATTACAATATATTCTGAAAAGACTAAAGCAGTGAAGTTACACAAATATCCTTTCTTTTCAAATGTTGGTGATTTAGAATCATCAGGTAATCATTCAATACCCCTTTTTCAATATTCTGAAAAGACTAAAGCAGTGTAGTTACACAAATATCCTTTCTTTTCATATGTTGGTGATTTAGAATCGTCAGGTAATCATTCAATACCCCTTTTTCCATTCTTTGTGCTTATGCTTTATTAATATTTGAAACCTGACATTTGTTTACAGTATCTATGAGTAATCTGCTACAATTTCAATGCATGTCACACATTTACAGTATACTTTATTGGGTTTTTTCAGGTTGGTGACAAGTAGTTGCTAGGGACGCGACGCAAATCAAATATCCTTAACCACATTCCACAGTGGAGATGAGTCCTGTGCCACTCAACTGTGAGCCCTGCTCCACCAATCATGTAATAGTGGCAAAAATGGAAAAAGAAGAGGATACTTGATTTGCGACCTCGGAAGCAAGCGACAACGATGATAAGCCTGATTGAACGGTGTTCACTTGATCTTAAGCCATCCACTGTAATGAATAGTGAAGTCAAAAATGGTTCATTTTGCAAGGTTAATTTTTCCCACATATTTTCACTCTAGAATTTTAAGAACAGCAACATAAAATCAGTGCATCCTAAGTACAGACTTTGATAATGTGTTACAGCATAGAACAAAACAATAAAAAATCATGCCAGAAGCATACATATAAGAGGTCAGTACAAGAATACAGTAAACCAAGCTTTCAAATTTGATTGCTTTGCAGGTGATACTAGGAGTTGGTGTATCATATGGATGTTAATTCCAGGTTTGATGGTGACAGCTAACTTGAGGATCTACTCTTTATCTTGCCCAACCTCAGTATTATATTGTGTCATTTGATCCTTCACAGGACAGTATTTTTTTTTAATTTTTTCTTCTTCTTACTGTGAAATTTTTAATTTTTGCATCATATTGCCTTACAAATTTTGATTGCAAACATACGTTAATATTTATAAAGTGTTTGCAGTCATGTCTTTTTCTTAAGGAATGAGCATATTTTTTCAAATTTATATGCCTCCTTATTAGATACATATTTTATGTGCCTGCTAACCACCAATATTCACTGCACTCACTGGCACAAGGAATTTTGTTTGTTCAGTAGATTTTAGCTTCTTATATCAAAGGTCTTGTGGTTCAAGACCACTTGCAGATGACATTTCTTCCTCATCCTGAGAAAACATAATGGGCCATACCTGGTCCCATTGTGATTTTAAATAAACTTGAAACTGTGTGTTCCTACTTCTGGCTGTTTTAATTCTAGTCATATCATCAGGAGCGCACAGTTCCATCCTAGAAGTGCTGCCAGACTGATATGGCCAGTAAAGTAAAAACAACCATGGCTTCAACTAAAGATATTAGAGGTAGGAGAAGGAACATCACTAATACTTAAATTCATTTGTCACAGTTTTGTTTTTGTGTGACTCATTTATGTTTGTGGCAGCTACAAATTACATATACATTAAAAACATTCTAGTGTCTTGTTCAAAAAGATGCCAAGATAATTTTTTTGGAAATATAGAACGCTTCTTGACACATTTAAAAATGAGCCAGCAACATGCGTGTTTGTATTCATATGGGTATGGAGTGTTAAGATAGAAATTAATTGATTTGACAAAACAGACTCATTTTACCCTTCTTGCAAAACTGGGAAACTTGACACACTGAGTTGTTTACTAGAAGAATTTTGGTGAATATTGTATGTTCATTTATTCGTTTGTTTATTTATGTGTCAGAATCTTATTCTACAGAAATTAACATTGTTTAATCTGTGAAACAAAAGGTAATAGCTGTGAGGCAGTAAATGTATGTTCAGTTTCATAATCACAGAAACAAAGTTTGTTCAAATTTTAATAAGTCATGTTTCCTGAAAAACAAAAATAATTTTGTACAACCAAAATGGAAATCATTGTTGCATAAGACATGATTTTCATGTTGTAGAAAGTAGGGTAAGCATTTAATTAATGAATAATCTACCTTAAAATAAGTATGGATAGTTTTGAAAGCATATTACTGTGGTCCTATATTCAGTTTTTCAAACTATTTTATATTATCAGGCAGGCACTACTTAAACTTCACATGTTGAAGAAAGTTATATTGTTTAATTGTTCCTTTACAGTTGTAGTATTTTATGGTAAGTGTAATTAAAGTATTTGAATAATCTAGCTGACCATTTGAACATGTCTGTTAAGGTCTAAGCTCATAGTCATGATTTAGATGGCATACAGCATCAGTGTGTGTGCATATTTTCATTTTGGACATCACCGGTCATCATCCTAACTCCTACAAATTGAGGATACTAACAGTCTCTCCCCCTCCTAATAATGAAACATTTTCAGCCAGTGAATTCTGTGTCGCATATTTCCAAAGTAACCTCTGGAAAAGTGCTGTACATTTTTTATGTTCACTTTAGGCTTGTCTAATACCTGCAATAATTTTGTCTGAAAGAAATCTGTGATTTACAGATCAAGAGAATTTGTTTTTTGCTTTGAACACAAACTTGTTAGAATTAAAAGGCAGGGATCAGATTGATAGCAGATAAGGAAGCAAATATACTGTCCATGCTGTAAGCATTATTTCCCAGTGGCAGTACTTTACAGTTTGCTGTCTCATTTCCTGTGTTAATAATGTATTTGGTTTACACAGTGTATACATTTTCTACCTGCAAGCTAGTGACATAGGCAAAATGCACTGATTTTTACCAACTTCAGTAGAATATAATATCACATTATTTAAGAAAAATGTTTAAATATATTTAGACAATTGCTGTCTACATCATCAGTGGAAAAATTAAAACCAAAGTGGCTATGAACCTAGAACTTGGACACAGATGGATCTGGTTGAGTTCCAAGAACATGGCAGAACTATCCTAAACATATGTTGTTTAAGTCCCATAGTAGACTACTGTAAGGAGAAAGGCCAGACATATTTAAATAACAAAATTGGGCCCCCCACTTCCCTTTCATTCTGTCAGAACTGTGTATAATTAAAGAAATTTGAGATTCTCACAGCAGTGAGCATGTTGGTTTTCTGGGTAGTGATGAAGGCAGCATATTCTTCCAAAATGTTGGTCTCTACCTGTAAAGTCTGTGTGGAATTACTACCCAGAAGACTAACTTTGACAATAATTAAATTTGTGTTTATTCAGTACATGACTTGATATTGTGAGGTAATTTCAAATGTAATTAATAATAATATTTTATGTTTAGCAGTTGGTGACATTCATGCTTAGGAAATGTTATTCTGGACAAAAACATTTTACTAATTCAGATTTGAATAATTTACTTGAATGAAGTCCAGAATATTTTTAATTACACATGCCTAATAAATAAGGAGATTGGTTACTATATGGTTAATTGTTATAAGTTATTTGAATCAAGCTTTTACATATTGTGATGATTTTTATAGTGTACACATGTGATGAATACAGAATTCTTGTTGCACATAGTTGTAAATTTTGAGCAGTGAATGAATCAAGTATGATAGTGAAGTAGTATTAATATTAACTCTGAAAGATAACAATATATGGCTTAATGGTATTCCCTCTCCAGGCGTTACCTGTCCATATTGGTTCTAGACTGGGGAATCAGCTGCCCTGAGCATTTCAAGATATTCCTCATTCCAGAATTCTATGTACAGAAAAATCCCTTTCTCTAATTTTTATGTACTTGCCCTGTTAAGTAACCAATAAATTGTTCATATTGTAGTTGATAAGATATAGTAAAAGATTTTTAATGTAGTCTTTGTATTTATTCAGGAATCATCATTAAAATTGCTTAAATTTGTATCAGTAATTGGTAACAATGAAATACATATTTTTATTAAAACTGCAGAAAAACAACTATATAATGAACATAATAAAAAGGTAAGTTCTTGTTTTCGCATGACAGTGTAATGCATTTGTACGAATGTGAAAGTGTAGGATCATTGCTTCCTATAAATGATGACTAACTGCTCCATTCTCATAAAACTCCCAACTGAACAGTTTTTCATATTTCATATACTAAGGAAATTCAAGGTTGGGAACCAGTTCTGTCCTGCTGTTTGTTTCTGCCATTATTAACTCCATGCAGCAGAGTCCTTTTCAAGGATTTATTAATTGTTAAGCTAATTAAGATATCTGCCTTTTATGGGATTTGAGGTTTTCATGGCGGTAAGTGTGAAGATGGCTGATTTCTGAAACGTCACTATATAACCTCATTTGCATTCATTGATTTTCATGCCATCTCCCTGAAAATATTGTGCCTAATTTTAATAGCCGTGAGTTTTCGCTTCTTTCCTGTCTGTACTGCAAGGAATTATGTTAAATTATGCAAAAGACAAACATTTCATATATTTTAATGTCATTTGTAGACATTATATTCAATAAACATTAAAACCCTTTTCACATTTACTGGAAGAAGCCACGTACACTTAACCCTTTCACTATGTGGTTCATCTGTGCTTCAACAGACAAAGTTTTTGTCATCTGTGAACGCTGTCACATTCTGTGTGTTAATCTGTGGTTACAATAGTAAAGGGCAAGTGCGTACGACTGGCTATGTATGTATATGTAATCCATTGATCCATGTGTTAAGTGATAATCTGGAGATTTGTAGACTTATTTTCAAGTATGTCACTTTTGCTCTATGAATAAAAGGCTATTTGTTGCGAAATATGCCCAAATTATTTGCATACTATGCGTTAAAGTGGTATGTCCATGTTAAAAATTTCCGTGTACACTGATGTTTATGTTCGTTTCTATATGTGTATAGATTAAGTGGCATGGCTCATATTGCGGCCGGCGTATTTTCAAGATTTTGCCTTTTATTTGTCACATTAACATATGGTCGCTTTTCTATAGCTTGATGCCTAGTTATTTATAGGAGAGTGTATCCTTCATAATGGTAGTGAATTTAGTCTTAGGTTTGAAGTTTTGCTCCTTTTGAAACCACAGTGTATGTTCTGGCATTATCTATATGCATATAATTTTACTCTGCCCAAATCAAATTTCACATGCCCTAAAAATATAATGCACTCAGGCAATTGTTTACTACACTGTCAAAACAAACCTTCATAGATTTTAGGGTAAAGCTGGTCATTGATTTAGGTCATGGCCTAATTGCAGAAGACAAGGGTAGAAATTAAATATAATTCAAATTATAAAACATATCAAACTGGGGCATTGTAAACAGGGAATTACTCAAGGTTTAATATGTGGTCCTCTTCATTTCCCTTTTACATATCAATGATGTACCCCCAACCACGATTTCTGAATCCAAGCCAAAACTCCTCACTGATGATACTAATACATTAATTATCCTGGTTGTGACTTCTACAAAATCCATTAATGATGTCTTGCTTACCTGCACAAATGGTTTGAAACCAATAAACCCCCACTAGATTTTGACAACAAACAGTAAAACATATATTTAAGTTTAAGTTATAGTAATGAAACAATTTAAGAAGTATTTACATATTAATTTCTGGGCTTAAAAATTAATAATGACTTAAATAAGATAAAACACGTTGAAAATATTATCCCCAAATTACAAAGTAATGCGTTTCTGTGAGAACAGTCACACCTTTCTTAAAAATAAGTACTTTGAAATTACTTTACTTTGGTTATCTTCTGGGGAAATTTACAGGTAGCAAAAGAGTATTAACACCCAGAAAAAGAAATCATTAGAATAGTGACATTTGTTACAAAAAAAATCGTGTGTAGGAAACTTTAAGAAATGTAACATACTTCTCTTTGGAAGTGAATTCACACTGTCATTCATTGTGAACAGCATAGAGAAGTTTCAGATAAATTCTGACATGCACAGAGGCATAAATATGACCTCCATATACTGAATGCTAAGCTCACTAGTTAGCAGAAAGGCGCTTATTATGCTAGGATAAAGTTAATCAGTAATCAAACATTACAGGTTTAAATCATGAAATAAAATTTTTTAAGCTAGCACTGAAAGATTATCTCCTGTCTCACTTCTGCTTTATAGATAAATTTACTTAAACTGAAAACTACTAAATATTCTAAAGATTTATGTAAATAGCTGTAACATGAACAGTATATAGTTACTCCACCTATTATTCTCAGACTCACTAAGGCTTCATTATCACTGTTTGGGGCTTTCGCTGAAAAAGGGGACTCTGCTCCATTCAGTGGGCTCATATCACACAGGGTTTACCCCCAGCAGTAGATCTGCTATACCTTGGTCACCCCATAGTATTCCACACCAGAGCACCCCACCATCATCACTGTTGGGGACTCAGCCCTATCCAACAGTCTCGTTCCACATAGGGTTTACCCCTATCTGTGGATCTTCTACACCTGGGTCACCCCATGGGCACACTAATTGGGCTCCCATGGGATACTCCACTGTGATCTCTGTTAGGGGCTATGCCTACCCAGCAGGCAAGTATACTCAAATGGTATACGATGTCTATACCATATTTCATCCAAATCCATCAAGTTGTTCTCATGTCGGCAGATAGACAGTACCAGCCTTATGTGCATTCTTTTCATGCACATCATGCAAAGAATGCTGAAGTCAGGCTTCCACTTTGTTTCTGTAAACATTTTGAGTAGTTTTGTTCTTTTCATACCATTTTTCTGTTTTCTTCTCTGTTCCATCTGAATCCTTTTGACGTAAATACATCTATACGGAGGGGTCATTCAGCAAAAAGTGAACAGTGTGTAAATATGGACCAACAGCAATGGTGTGATTGCGTGCATTGTTATGTTACCTAAGAAACGTCATCTGTATACTCGGCATTGTTGTGTTACATTACTGCCGTCAACAATCCGCTTTCGTTATTGCGGAAAGAGCTGAGCTGTGAACCGGTTGTAAAAGAAGTGCATCGTAGACTAGATAATTTTGTGCTGGTAAAAGCGTTTTAGAATATCACAAGTACTTATCTTATATATACATTACATTTCATTACATTACAGAGATGTATTTACGTCAGATTCTCCGGAACCATGGTTCCACTGTCAACTTTTTCATATTTGTATGAAATTTGATATGAAAGATCCATGGTGAAACTTTTCAGCAGAATATTAATTTTGAAGATGATTGTCTTCTGGGATGTTGTGTTATGTGATATGGTAGATATTGACCAATGTTTCAGAGGTGCTCACATCAGTCAATATCTACCAGAATATGTAGAGCAACATCCCAAGACAGCTATCTTTATACTCATCGCTGTGAGCACCAGATATCTTAACATAATATTAATTTTGGCTCCTAGCCCCTCTACTAGCACTTATCTTTGAGTCTGACTTTTAATTAACACACATTTCAATCCTCAAGGATTCGACCACATGAAAGTGAAGATAAAATCCAACATTCAGAGTCCTAATCTTCCTCCATGAGCAGGCTCAGTGTGTAGAAAAGGCCATATGTCTCTGTTGTATATCTAGTCCAAATGTTGTCTCTTACTAGTGGGCAGACTCAGATTTGAGTGGTCTCCCATCCACCTTGATTGTATCAGCCAGAAAAATCTGCACTGGTAGAACATTGCATTGAATTAGACAATCAGTCAGATTTCATATCAAGATACTATTAACAACATCTGATCACACACACAGAGAAGTGACAGAAATTTGGTTACACCTGCGTAACTCAAATTAAGAAGATGGCCTCAAACTAAGCAACAAAGAACTATTGCAAGGTGGGAGAGAAAGCCACCCTAATGATAAAGAGTGATCAGGTTTCTAAAACACTGGTTTTAACTCAACTTTAATTAAACTGATCACCTGAGAGGGTTTTAGTGCATTTATTTGCCCTGAAAGTTTCATATCTTTCAAAAACTTCTTCTTATTCTTCTATGGCTCTCCGGTCCGTATTCGGTCCATGGCCTCCTCAATTCTCCTCTTCCATTCGGTCCTCTGTTAGGTCCATCTGTCCGAGGCTTTGATCGAGGTTTCGAAACATCTTCCTTTTTACGGTGCAAGGTTGTTAGCCTTGCGACCAACCCCCAACCTGAAGGACAAGGGTACCTGTCTTAGTCTGACCTCTCCCCCTCGACCAATCTGGCTAGGGAGGCCCTACCAATAGCTATGCTACCACCAGCATAGCTCTTGGGGTCACTGAGGTGCTGAAGCCCCATCTCCACGACAAGGTGCAGGTACCATTAAGTGGGGCTTTCAAAAACTTATAAATGTTAATACAACCGTACAAGCAACACAAATCCATAAAACATGGCTGTTGATAGCTATGTATTGACAGAATTAAAAGAATCTAGGGAAACAGGAACAGTATCAGTTCTCTGGGAAGAATGAATTTCATTGTTTCAGATGTAAAGAATGCTGCCTGTTGTCTTCGCCTTTCTACGACGGTATGTTCCATTTATCACATTGCCTTTTGCTGCAGTGGTTGGTATCATTGGGTACAATCTGGAGGGCATGCTGTCTGATAAATATACACCATATCAAAAGAGTATAGAGGGCAAGAGGGAAGACAGATTACTTGAAGAGAGTTTAGCCAAAGATGTTACGAAAGTGGACAGTTTGAAAGAGAAGAAATTTGTGCCTCGTTCAGTATTTGAGAAAAATGTTTCACCATCTCTACAGAATACTGAAACAAAATAAACATAGATTTGCCATTCCCCACACTGTAACATATTATATATTGGGGCTGTGCTCACTTCTTTGAACATTGTGCTTAGGTAATGCTGAATTTTACAAAAGTATAACTTTTAAAGCTGATTTTATACTAGTAAATGGTTTATATTTTTGATGGGCAATGGCATAAAGTTGTTATATCACATGTAATGTATCATGCTGCTGATTATTATACCTAGTTTGTACCAGTTCCTATTGTAATGTTAACTGTGCACAATGAAACTGATAAAACAGTTCTGAAAGCAAAGAAACATGAGAAGTCATGCCACTGTCTGACAGTACTAATTGCTGATATGCATCATTACAGTACAGAGCCCACTGAGGTTGTATAAACATTAGAATTAATAAATTGAAATTAGTAAGACTTTTTCTGAGCCCTTTGAGTGCTTTTAAAAGACAGTTTATCAGGATCAAGCTCGGAAAGGGTTTGAGGTTCTTATAGCAGTGAGTCTGGAGATGGTTTTCTTCTGGGTGCCACAACCCAGAAGACTGTCAGACTCAAAGGGAATGGTTAGATTGGTCATGCCGAAACCTCACCTGAAATTTTGCTCATCTACAGAGCCCATCTAGTAATGATTGTACACAAAATTTCAGCTGCTGATGCGCTGTGCAAGGGTACGAAAAAATTGCTCAAAGTTGGTATGTATATTTAAAATTCGCTCCGCCGCGCATGCGCGTGACAGCAGCGCGCCATTCACCGGTACATTGCAGCGGAGGGCGTGGGTCAGGCGCTGGTGAGAAGGCAGCGAAAGACTTGAGAAATGTCTCTCTTACACACATACACGCGCGCGCGTAGTTTATTGAATAAGTAAGTACACAAGAACCATTTATGTGTATATAATACGCAGGTGTTTTATATGCAGCTTTGTGGAAGCAATGCACCGAAACAATAGATTGTTTACTCATCCATAGCTACTATGTACATGTACTAATATACAGTAAAACCTCTCAAGTTGGACACCCCTATATATTGGACACTTTTAATTGGAGCCGGAGAATATCCTATAATTTTACATGTCCACAATACCCTATATCTTGGACACCCCTTTTGTTGTAAGTTGGACAGGTTCATGCACTTAGGCTTCAATACTTTTCAGGGAAACGTGTACAGTTAAATATTTTGTTGTTTTAAATTATTGACTGATGAGTGTCTTCTGTCTGGAGGATTAGCCTATGGTTTAGGGGGTAAGAGACATGAACCCATCGTTGAAATGCAATGAAGGTGTTTAGTTATTCTTTCTTTGAACCCTCCACTGAACTACGAAATTGCAGATACAGTTTTAACTTCACCAGCACTGCGCTTGGATTTGAGTTCAATCTTTGTTAACAGAAACGGGATTTTCTTTTTGTGACAGGGAAGGGAAAATTTATGGAATTAACTTTATAAAATTTCATTGAGTCTGGGGTGTAATGTGCAATGAATGGGAATGGGTTTGAAAAGATCATTGTTGTTGCTACTTTTGACGGGTATTTCTCCAGTATATTTTATATTAGGAATCAAGCAGAGCTCGCAGAATGCGCACAAATAAATAATGTACAAAATTATGCACTATAATTGTGACAGAAATGTGAAGCATCAATGGAATGTTTGAAGCAAATATTCAGTTTGGCTGTAATATTGCGTCCTTCATAGACCTGCATTGCAAGTCGCAAAACGTTTACAGCCTTCCACATTGCATTGAGAGATCTGGTAATGTCACTAAAACACCTCCTCTACTATGCGCAAACTACAATAGTTAAGCTTCTAGCTCCCCGGAGACTAATCTTTCACTGCCCTCTCAGCGCCTGGCCCACGCCCTCCGTTGCAATGTACCGGTGAATGGCGCGCTGCTGTCACGCGCATGCGCGGAGGAGCGAATTTTAAATATACATACCAACTTTGAGCAATTTTTTCGCACCCTTGCACAGCGCATCAGCAGCTGAAATTTTGTGTAAAATCATTACTAGATGGGCTCTGTAGATGAGCAAAATTTCAGGTGAGGTTTCGGCATGACCAACCTAACCATTCCCTCAGTGGCATACACTGAGATTCTTTTGTGTTCTTCACGTCACATATCAGGCGTTAACATCGGCAGTTCTGGCGAATGATTTAGGGGCTGATGAAAGGCAAGTGTGATGGTAAGATTTCCAGTTTCCTTCTCTTTCCAACAAGAAACAATTTGGTGGTGAAACAGTGACAGTCACTTTGATTACATACAGCACACAATAAACATACTGTCTTTCATAGATATGAAGATGTGATCGATTACAAGACACGTTCATGATTTAGTAACAGGTTTTCAGGAAAGAAGTATGAATATTACAGTAGGAACTATCAATATTCAAACATAAAACTTGTTTGTATTAATATTTAAAAATCTTCATTGTTGCTATCTTTGTGTTTGCTTTTTCATGACTAGTGTAATGGACATGAAGATTTTTCTTGTACTGTGGTCATACAATATAATCTTTCAACATCGGTTCTTAGATGCCATCAAATGTAAGATGCACCCTGATTTCAGAAACTTTAAAATGAGGAAAAGTGTATCTTAAAATTGAAGAAATATGGTATATTCCAGACACAGAATGCTTGGATCACAATAGTATATACACTCGTGGATGTTGAAGCACTTACACAAACTAATTTACATTAAATTGATTTGTCATATGAAATTGGAAAGAAATATGTTTGCTTGTAGGATTTGAGGTTTTCAGGGTGGTGAGTCTGAAGATGGCTGTCATCTGGGTTATTGCACCATGTAGTCTGGTAGAAGTTTACCTGTGCAATGACAATGATCTTCATTGTAATTCTAATTTAAAAAAAACTACAAATGGAGATGAATCTGTTTTGATCCTTAGTTATTTCTAAAGATGGGGACTAGCTCTGTTGATTCACACCAACAGGGGTTTTAGATGAGGATGGAGACAGACTCCATTGTTTGAAACATAATTTGTTTAATTAACATCAGATGATGGATAATGTTCAAGAAATTTGTCATTGTGATTATACACCAGTCACATAACTTACAATCTAGTATCACCTTTGGTTGATTAAGGATTGCTGTACACAGATAAGAATTCATAGGCAGATCACTGGATTGATTGCTGTGCAGTTGGAAGTTCACAGGTGAGTAAACAATATTTACAAACTGTGATTGCTGATGACTTTGTCCAGTTGTTCACGTAGAAGCAGTGCTTTGTTTGACATGGATTTGAAATATCTGTGTTTGTCAAGGTGGAAGGTTTTAACAATGATCAGACACAATGGAATGGATTGTAATTTCAAAATTATTGTACATTTCTTTCATTCACAGAAGTAAAGCCAGCAATTCATCTGAACAAGAAAAAGTTTGTTGTTACAGAACACAAATGTTTATCACTATTCTCAATTCACATAGAAACCAACCACTGAGCTAGTTTACAGCTTCACAACATATATCTCTAATATTTAATTTATTGTTATCCACCCATCTGTATCAAGATCTCCCAAATGATCTCTTTCTGTGAGGTTTTCTGACAAATTGTGTATGCATTTAATGTTTTTCCCTGACAATACTGGGATGTCCCATTTTATGAAAGAATTATTTTCTCCCAAGAAAGTTTTGTAACATGTACAATAAAGATTAAATATATTGTGTAAAAATGATTCACAATATCATGAATTACAACTCATATGATATAAGGTAGATGAAAACATTAATTCTTAATGATACTTGATGTTGCTACATCTTGTTTACTTCTCACCAGTAGTACCAAATTTGTAGATGGTTATGTGTGAATAGATGGTGCCAGGGTTTAAAATACTGCTGGGGAAATTTGGCTGCAAAGACAAAACAGTGTATATGATTGATTAAATCAGCAGCTTGGAAGCTGACGAAGGTAAGCACACCAGTTAGACATATTTGGCTTGCTGAAATTTACAATTTAATATTTTATTGTTTGTTGCTTTGCTCAGTATACGTATATAATTTGTTATTAAATTACAGAATTGTTGTATGCAATGAACTGAGAAGGATATAGGAGGAATATTACCACTTGCCTGGAAGGACTGAAATTATCACAAAAATTAGTCAGTTTGCTGCTCTCTGGACCAAACCTGAGACCTCTCAGACATGAAGCAAGAAATGTAAGTACAACAGCATTCCATTCAGTGTGACTGATGTGAGGTTACAAGACTGAGGCATTAACCTCTCTTGCCAAAGGTCTCATGTTCAAATAACAGAATTTGTTATGGTAATTTTTGCATGGCTCTCTTGAACTTCTGACAAAGCCCTAACTGAGTTAATGTGCAAAATACCATGTACTCACTGTCATTCAGAGACCAATTCAGGGAATAGGCTTTATTATCTGCCAAATTTTATATCTGTGAAAGTATACAGGCACTGCAATCCTCTTTCAGAATGACAATACATTGCTAATTAGTTAGGAGAAATATGCATAAATAATGTATGTATAGTGATGTAAATTCCCTGTAGTACATCATTTGGTTTGAGAAAATTAGCAAGTATTTGTCTATGGAGTCAATAAATCCACCAGCATGCCTTCAACAGACAACTATTGCTTTAACTTTTATGAGAAGGAATTACTTTAACCTCAAAGTTTGTAAGATTTTCCCACTTCTCAAATTCTGTGTTTTCATATATTTATGTACATATTTGTTGTTCTAACCTTGCTTCACTTGACAAACTGTTGTATAGTTTGGTTTTAATAGTATTTATAGATTCCTACACTCCACATGATAGAACCTATTTTATTTGACTGACATTTTGTATGGTTTCCCTTGGCATGCAAAGGAAATCACTCTTTTCTGATCCAAAGACATTTGGCATGAGATGCTAATGACTTTGATCTCCATAAGAGATCTTATCTTATGAATATAGACTTTATGGTGTTTATGAAGAAAGAATGCATTAAACAGTATTCGGACACCTACGTGGTTAACAGCATCTGGATAATTCTGTGTTTCAAGGGAAAATGACCCATACTGGTGATAGTTGACTCTGCCTTTGCCAATCAGATCGTCAGATCCTGCCTGGGGCAGATTGTTTCCTGTATAGAACTGAACTCCTGGTTGATCTGAGTAGATTTCCAGGTAACGTCCTGATTCAGGGTGTACAACTCTGAAATTATATGAGGTGAAGGCTTAAAATTGTTTTCCTTGAACATTAATTTCTTCATTAGATAACAAATTTCCCATTAAAAGTTACCTCCTTTTATTAGCATTATGTTATACCTCTTGTTATGATGTAATTGAACTGTCTGTATAGAATTCAAAAGCCTAGCATTACCAGTGTGTAAAGACCTGAATTTTCTTGTTTTTTAATTGTAGAAATAGATTTTTAGTGCTGTTATAATATTATTTTACAAGGGGGAACCATGTAAGTCAACATTTTTTTAATAGATTTTGCTCTTTGTATCATATGGGAGCCTCAAATCAAATTTTATATGTAGCAGTCGCTTTCAAAAGATGGTTTTGCTAGTTTTAGAATTCAAGTATCCATGATCTTCCATTTGTATCTAGTTTTGCCAAACGTGATATTTGGTTTTATATATCTGTGATTTTTATTTGTGTACAATAATTCAGTCGCTTCAGCACAAAGAGATTTACATTTGCTGGAGGGAAGGCTGTAATGACAACCAAAACCAATTTTATAGTGTTTGTTGCTTTGCTCAGTATATATAATTTGTTATTAAATTACAGGATTGTTGTATGCAATGAACTGAGAAGGATTGTTTGTTGCTTTGCTCAGTATACGTATATAATTTGTTATTAAATTACAGAATTGTTGTATGCAATGAACTGAGAAGGATATAGGAGGAATATTACCACTTGCCTGGAAGGACTGAAATTATCACAAAAATTAGTCAGTTTGCTGCTCTCTGGACCAAACCTGAGACCTCTCAGACATGAAGCAAGAAATGTAAGTACAACAGCATTCCATTCAGTGTGACTGATGTGAGGTTACAAGACTGAGGCATTAACCTCTCTTGCCAAAGGTCTCATGTTCAAATAACAGAATTTGTTATGGTAATTTTTGCATGGCTCTCTTGAACTTCTGACAAAGCCCTAACTGAGTTAATGTGCAAAATACCATGTACTCACTGTCATTCAGAGACCAATTCAGGGAATAGGCTTTATTATCTGCCAAATTTTATATCTGTGAAAGTATACAGGCACTGCAATCCTCTTTCAGAATGACAATACATTGCTAATTAGTTAGGAGAAATATGCATAAATAATGTATGTATAGTGATGTAAATTCCCTGTAGTACATCATTTGGTTTGAGAAAATTAGCAAGTATTTGTCTATGGAGTCAATAAATCCACCAGCATGCCTTCAACAGACAACTATTGCTTTAACTTTTATGAGAAGGAATTACTTTAACCTCAAAGTTTGTAAGATTTTCCCACTTCTCAAATTCTGTGTTTTCATATATTTATGTACATATTTGTTGTTCTAACCTTGCTTCACTTGACAAACTGTTGTATAGTTTGGTTTTAATAGTATTTATAGATTCCTACACTCCACATGATAGAACCTATTTTATTTGACTGACATTTTGTATGGTTTCCCTTGGCATGCAAAGGAAATCACTCTTTTCTGATCCAAAGACATTTGGCATGAGATGCTAATGACTTTGATCTCCATAAGAGATCTTATCTTATGAATATAGACTTTATGGTGTTTATGAAGAAAGAATGCATTAAACAGTATTCGGACACCTACGTGGTTAACAGCATCTGGATAATTCTGTGTTTCAAGGGAAAATGACCCATACTGGTGATAGTTGACTCTGCCTTTGCCAATCAGATCGTCAGATCCTGCCTGGGGCAGATTGTTTCCTGTATAGAACTGAACTCCTGGTTGATCTGAGTAGATTTCCAGGTAACGTCCTGATTCAGGGTGTACAACTCTGAAATTATATGAGGTGAAGGCTTAAAATTGTTTTCCTTGAACATTAATTTCTTCATTAGATAACAAATTTCCCATTAAAAGTTACCTCCTTTTATTAGCATTATGTTATACCTCTTGTTATGATGTAATTGAACTGTCTGTATAGAATTCAAAAGCCTAGCATTACCAGTGTGTAAAGACCTGAATTTTCTTGTTTTTTAATTGTAGAAATAGATTTTTAGTGCTGTTATAATATTATTTTACAAGGGGGAACCATGTAAGTCAACATTTTTTTAATAGAGTTTGCTCTTTGTATCATATGAGAGCCTCATATCAAATTTTATATGTAGCAGTCGCTTTCAAAAGATGGTTTTGCTAGTTTTAGAATTCAAGTATCCATGATCTTCCATTTGTATCTAGTTTTGCCAAACGTGATATTTGGTTTTATATATCTGTGATTTTTATTTGTGTACAATAATTCAGTCGCTTCAGCACAAAGAGATTTACATTTGCTGGAGGGAAGGCTGTAATGACAACCAAAACCAATTTTATAGTTTACAGATCATTGTTGCAGTGTGTCTGTAACTTAGGCGTACTTATTATTTGTATTTAATGAAGAAACAGGCAACTTAGACTTTACTGAGAGTTAACAGCAGTTGAAGTTCCCAGTCTTCAATTCAAGTGTTTTTCAGGAATATAGCCCGCATTATTTACAAGGGATTACTGTATACTGATTGAATTAAGCAGCCAAAAATTGGTATCATTCTTTCCCATTAAAAATTCAAAGAATTCATTCACCATCTTACTTTCTAATATAATCAGATAAATATATTGTCTTCACATTAATGCTAAATGCTATTGACTTCTAGCATTCTAAGAATAAACTGAATTTACTGCCACTGTGTCATGTTGCTCCACACACCATGTAAACTGTACAACTGGTGAATCACAGAAAGGAATTTTAATTTTGTTTACCTGGACACTAAAACAGGATTACTGTATCTGTCTATGTTTATACAGTAGTTGTTGTCATAACCACCTCTCTTTTGTATCAGTGGACCCACTTGACGTGGAGTCCGAAAGTCCAGATCTGTATCAGCAACAGATGCTAGTTCTCCTGAAACAGAGACATTTCTTCAACAAAAGTGCACTTACATAGTGTGTGATATCAGTAAAGCATCATTCCACTAATGCTTAGATGTTTCCAAAGAGTCCATTCAAGTCTGACATAACATGCCGGACTTTACAGTCGGTCGGGAGTTGTTAGTCTCCACTCAACCCCAAGCTGGAGGACCATTATTTATCAGCTGTATGCATTTCCTTATTCATTATATTCACAGCCACATTATATTCTCCATATGCAGCCTGATGTGGGATGCATCATAAATCAGCTCTTCTCTGAATGAAAATCTCTTCATTTACAGTCCGTACCAAAATTTATCTGCCTTGAAGTGAATTTTTATGTAAATTAGGTACTTTTGATTCCCAGTTAACATGAATGTCTACACGTGTTTTTAAATACATTTCAGTGAACATCGAGTATAGCACAAGATGTTTCAGATGAGTTACAGCATGTGATAAGATTAATATTTCAAGTTGCATTTTCATTTTACAATACAATTTTATAATAACCATCGTATATTTATTGAATGTGCTTATATAAAATGTGACACACCACACACTTGCTAGTTTTGTTAATACTTTCTACTGCTAAATTTCACGACGCAGTATGTGATTTTGTTATATACATCACCATATTATTTCATGAGATGGAAAGTGTGATATGAGGAGAAACACGATCGTATCTGAATAATTGGTTAAATACACGTGATGTAGATCAAGTGTGTGCTTTTGTATTACCAGTTGGTATGCTCTGGTTGTTTGTAACCGTGTACTGATCTGCATTAATATATACCACATGTTGGAATAGTCCATCAGATCCAGAAGCCTGCAACAACAAATGATTAATTCTAAATATCATTAGTATTTCACATATGGCAAACATGCCCATGAAATAATTAAATGTAGACATGAAAAATGCACTTTAGAGATAATTATGTTTGTCATAAGGCTTCAAGTTATACATTAATAAGACGAAGCAGTTTGTATTACAGCAGTCAGGTTTTGCTATATTATCCATAGTTATGCATGGGTTTGAAACTTGGCCTATTAATCTGAGGGAAGATGCAATGATTTTTAGCCAGTATCGACATAGCTTGCCATGTGACATTTTTCTTTTAGTTGCTATGATGACTTCAGACCTGAGGTTGTTTGAGATCAAGTGCTGAGTAGAATATTGCACTTGTACAAAAGATATCCATATACTGTGACTCTTAAAAGACATCTGAAAGACTGGCACAAGTAGGTTACAGCATGACATGACTTGTATGTGCTCATGTATAGTCGGAGAGAAATAATTGAATTGCAACCATCAATAAATATTTTAATATGGACTGTGTGACATTTGAAGCACTCTGTATAAGATATAGTACTGCTTGATCGTGAAGTGCTTAATTCAGTCTCTAACATAAATGTCATCTGTGTAGAAAGAGCAAGAAGACGCTTACCTGACCGGCCAAGTTGAAATATGCGTGGTTTGCGATGTTAATGGGTGTGGGTTTTGTGGTGGTGGCTTTTACTTTGAAGATCAGCTCATTTTCAGGCGTGAGCTCATATGTGACTTGTGTGAGGACAGTTCCTGGGAATCCTTCCTCACCATCCACACTGACATAACTGAGGGTAAGCTTTTTATTGTGTAGGTATGAGTCCCACACAACCTGGTAGCATGGATTTTCTGCATTAACCATTTATATAAATATGTTCTGTAGTCACATGTACAATCTGAGAAATGACTTAAAAACTATGTTGTCTGCTGCATTTTCCAGATAGTTATTTACTTGCAAATGTGTATGTAGATTCCATGTTCGCAAGCCTCTCTATTAACCTTTGAAGCAATTAACCTGTTTTCATTAATCACTTCCCTGATTAATTTATTTTTTCTGAAAATATGGTCCCAACATTTTTTTATATCACATTTGGAATATACCCCAAAAAATTAAATGATTTATGTCTTTTGATAGAAAATATTTAATTGTACTGTACAAAATTTTCTTTATCAATTGTAGTTATTGTTATCCCAAGTTATCTCATATCAACATATCGGTCACATAAAACATTTATTTATTTTTACAGATTCATAGAGATGATTTATGATTAACACTTCTTGAAATGTTAACCGTACTTTTTCCATGCATTAAAAATTATTTATCCTGACAGATCATTATGCCATATAATTATCTGTATTATGTAAAAAGCGATTTCAAATTTGCTTGTGCTCTGTTTAAATTAGAATATAGACCTCACAGTAAACATCCAAATAATATAACACATAGTACACATTATTTTTCATTGTTCTTCTGTAATGACATGTTTTTGAGGGAAGGAAATGAAAGTACAAAAGGGATACAGGAAATTAATAAGTAGGGAGAGAAATAATGACAGGACAGACAAATTAAAAGAATGGGAAAGTAAGATGGGAAGTAGGTAAAATTAAAAAAATACAAATGGAAGGAAGATAGAAGGTGAGAGATGAAGACATGACAGAAATAATTACATGTTAACTTTCTGCACTAGTTACTAAATAACTTCCCTGGTTCCCTGTATAGATGTAGTGCTTAGAGGGAAGTAGGCATTCTTGAAAATTCTAGTTAAAAATAACATAATTATATGATCTGTAAACAATGTAATCTCAGTTGCCTGCACTGAGTTAATCACATCCTAGCTCTAAATATTACAGCAAGTTTATGATCTCTAGGGTCTAATCCCTTCATCATAAAGAGCATAGTTTGAAAATGTTTTAAATCAGTTTTCAATTTCACTGTACATACTTTGTCAAAACCTCTCAGTCCCCCATGCAACTGATTTGGGCCCATATTTGGTGTCACATTATATTGAACTCCATTGAGAGTGAATTTTGCACCTCCAATTCTGTTTGCCACTCGCCCAAGAACAGCGCCAAAATATGGGTCGTTCTGCTGGAGGTATCCTGATGAAGGAAATGAACAACTAATTACAATTTCTAAGGAAAAAAACTCCACAAATGATAGATGGAAGGACTAAGATCTGAAAAGATGGATGAAAATTTGGGGGGTTATAAGGCGATTTAGCGCTGAATCAGATATTATAATTATTATGAATGAGAATTTTGGAGGGTAATGAGAAGCAGTAGTCATGTTTTTTCTGAAGGTACTATCCCAGGATGGACTGTCAGAATGTTCATTTATGTACACCAGTTCTCGCACAAGGGTAATTAGCTCCCTTCGCAAACCTTCAGGACTACGTTCTCCTTCCAATTAACTTCTGAAAATGATTACTATTTATTAGTAGGAATATAAATTCTGCATGTATAATTTCAGAGTTATTTCACACTGTAAAGAAGAACATGATAATGAATATGCAGTTTGTTACGTCACTACACACACATCACGATACAAAGTATTGTTGGCGGCATAATGGAAGGCTTCAAACACAGACTTATTCTTTCATATTCTCTCTTTGTAATTTTAGACACTAATTGTTCTGTTTTATGCTATTCCTCATTATTTTTTATTCATGTAGTTGTTGCCTCCCACCAATTATTGCTGCCTTAGGCGACCATGTAGTTTGCCTAGTGGTTAAATCGGCTGTGTCGAATACAAAGTAGCTTAAGTAATGGATTTATTTGACTCTGCAAAGGGTCCAATGACTGGATCTATTGGACACTGTAATGTAAAGTTCGGCAGTTTTTGGCCTCAAACACCATGGCCGTCATCCCGCACCCTCCTTATTCGCCGGATTTAGCTCCGTGTGACTTCTTCCTCTTCCCAAAGATGAAAATTCAGCTAAAGGGAAGGAGATTTGAGACGATAGAAGAGATTCAGGCAGAATCGCAGATGGTGCTTGACAGGCTGACAAAGAAAGGTTTCCAGGGATGCTTCCAGGCTTGGCAGCGGCGCTGGGATCGTTGTGTTCACTCCCAGGGGAACTACTTCGAGGGTGATGGATGAATTTAATACCTGAGATAAGTGTACGGGTTCTTTTATAGGCGCAGTCTTGAAACTTTCCGATCGCACCTCGTATATACGTATAGTTTTTTGTACAGCAAGGTTAGCGTATATGGAATGCCAAGTGTCAAGTTGCAATGAATGCGCAAGGCAGTCGAGAAAGTTACATGGTGTCTTTATCTATCCATTTACCATATGATTTATCCAGTGTCAGTGATCATGCTAGGAAAAGCCAGCAGGTCTTTATTTCATTTCTTTCGCTGACTCTATACTTGCATAATATCTTATAACAAATTAATAATGTTGATAACTAAAAATCCTGGGTCACCTCATCCCACGAGGATTCCCAGTCAGAATTCTGAGGTCGATACTAAATAAACTACAAATCTAACTAATAAGATGACAAACCTTCAAAGTTGTCGAACCCAAGGACGACATCCTGGACCTCCCCGTGCACATCAGGCACCCTTATGACCGAGATCCTGCCTCCGTACGTAATGATTTTGGCAGTCATATTGTTCGCATTGGAAAATGTGTACCTTTTGACGATCTGCTTATCTAGTGTCCCATATTCATCCTCTACCACTGTCACGCCTTCGGCGCTCACCGATTCCGCATTCAGCGTCACGGTGACGCAGAAAATAATTACCACCGCACTCCACAGCAGCATGTCGTCTGTTGCATTGGCCTCCAGGTGTCAAGAGTTCTTATAGTTTCGTACAGCCTTGGAGGTGGGGAAAGTTAAGCGTTGTACCGAGACGGAAAATATCAGGCGGCAGGGATGACGTGCTTCTCGTGAAGGTTAAGTACCTCGTTCTAACAATACGCCACGCAGGCTTTCGCGATAATGTTGGTATAGCTCCATGTATTATTACAGTTTTTTATTTTATTTAGTGTTCTGTATGACGACAGGTCCATATGAACAGGATCCTTCCATCCTTTTCTCGGACTGGGACCTGTTCATATACGTTCTTGGCAGATGATCCAGAAGTGGTTTGCCATTGCCTGCTTCTGTGTGTGAATGGAGTAATTGTGGGGA